ACACACACACACACACACACACACACACACACACGCACACATACTCACACACACACACACACACCACTATTTACAACCCCTAATTTTTTTCTCCTGGTAGTGGGGATTGAACTTAGGGATAGTCTACTTCTAAGCTACATTCCCAGTGCTTTTATTTTATTTTATTTTATTTTTGAGATCTTGGGACAGGGTCTCTCTAAGCTGCCCAAACTGGCCTTGAATTTGTGATCCTCCTGTTTTATCCTCTCAAATCTCTGGGATTATAGGCATGCCCCTACATGCCCCAATACAACCCCTAATATAATAATAGATCTAAATAATGATTATCAATACTAAAATCATTAAGTAAATGATTAATGGGAAATGTTGAGGATCATACTTACAGAGAATAAATGCACTAATGAATCACTAACATCACTAATCCTAACTCTGGGTTCAATACCCAGCACAACAAAACAACAACAACAACAAAAAAAAAAAACTTCTCTATTTATTTCTTATCCCAATGACAGAAAGTATTTCTAGGTTAATTTTATTTACTATATAATTACAAATTTCTACTGATATCCATTGGCTCTATAAGTTCTTTGAGTATATCTCAATGGGTTCTCTGAAATAACACTTTCATAAATTAATTAGCACTTCTAAGCATCTTGACCCCCCCCCAGTACATCACTAAATTTATTTGGTGCCTAAGTCTAACTTAATTTCTAAGTAATATTTACATCCTAAGTTGCATACCTGGATGTTCAGGTTATCCTCAGTGTTACCCATGTACCTAATCAGTTATGTGTTATAGATTTGATTTATAATTTTTTCTGGAAAGACTCTAAGTCATCCTACATATGTGTTTATAGTACAAAACCACAAAAACAAAAGTTTTGGGATTTATTTTCATACTCTTTTTTATTATTCCTGTGGATTTTATTCTTAAAAATTAAATTTTAAAAAAAAGAACCAAATCATTGTCCCTTACTCATCATGTTCATCTCTAAAGATATTCCTAAAGATCCTAAGCAAAATTTTAACTGCTACTCTCTTTTTCTTTTTTCAATAATATATTGTGTGACAGCAGCCAAGTTTCTAAGCTCATTCATTCACTTACACAGGCTGGATGTACTATGGTATGAGAAAACCGAGCTCAGAGTCCTCAATACAGTAGGTGTTTTGTGAGTATTTGACTATCAAAGCATATTATGAAGTCCTCTCAATTCCTTCCTCCTGACCAAAACTTTGTTCTCGATTAGATTGATCCAGTTAATTTTGACCTAACAAAAGTTGAAATTCAAGTTAAATTTATTGCTAGATTAAATTAGTAAAAATAAGGAAAGTCACTAATCACATTTACAACCCATTAGAAAAAAATAGTGTCTTTATTTTACAAATTAATACAAAATAGCAAATACATTTTATTTAAAACATCAGCTTGATCATGTCTGCTCTAATTTGTAGATATTTGACTTTATTTAGATAACTAACTCCTAGTTGTTTCCTCAAAACCAAGCCTTATTAATCTTCCCTCTGAATTAAGTACCAATCAATTTTCTTCCTGCTTCTAGAAAACTTGGGGTCACATTTATGCCCACATAAATCAGTGTAGAGTTAAGAAGTTAGCAGTTCTCTACATTTTTTCCACCAAAATACAAGTGACATTTAAAGTATACTTAATATTCACAATTCAATACAATCTCCTCACTTCAGACTGCCATACAAGGTAAGGAAGTCAACTGGTTTGCATGAAATTCTTTAACCCTGTATTTTCCCTTCCATCAATCAATATGGTGTTGTAAAACCATCAGTGAAAACTATTGTTTTTTTTTTTTTTTTGCGATGGGTGGGGAATTAGTTTTGGTTTTATTCTTGGCTCAGTTTTATATCTTCACATTTGTTTTTCTTTCTTCTTTGATCCACATTTAATTTATCCTATTTGAATTTTATATAATAATCAAATTCTTTCTAGAACAGGTAAGGAATAAATAATCACTCCATGTATCTGCAAAAGCAATCTCTTGTCATTTACCCTAGATAAAGCCTTAAAACTCCTTGTTGCTTCTTAACTATTCTCTATCATATTGAACATATGAGTATCAAAATTTGTGAGTTCCTCATTTTCTTGCTTTATCGGTTCTCTTTTTTAAAATATTTAAGGCTGAATACAAAAAAAAATTCATACACAATTTAAACTTAGAAACCCATAATAAAAATTAAATTGTTTACACAGATAAAGAAAATGATTGCTGTACAACTTTTATGACAAATGAATGTGAACTTTCCGGTGCCTTGCATACAGTTATTCAAATAGTAATAACTCAGTTACACAGTAGAAACGTTTAATTGCTCTGATATTAGACTACTATAGCTCAGGCATTGGAACATGAGAATTTGTTTCAGTGCTATTTTTAAAACCACTAATAAACACTTCAAATAGCAGAACTAAGTCTCTTCTCAGTTGAGCCGCCCTGAGTAGTTGTGAAAGAAAAAATGTGTTCAAGAATCACATTTTCATCCAAATCTGAAATGCTTGTTGATCTCAAAAAAGTAGACATCTTAAGTTGGAACTTTTATAAAGTAGTCTAGAGTTTAGTGTTACTAAAAGAAAAATTAGTTATAAAAGTAATAAATGCACAGCATAGCTTCCATTCATCACATTTTATAGTTCTTTTCTTTCCCCCCCAACAAGTTATCTAACCAATCAACAGATAATCTATATTATTAGGATTTGCCCTGTACAAAGTTTGATTTTAAAAAGTTTGACACTTCACTCACCTACTGCAGGACAGAGTATTGCCCATACACAGATACTAAACCAACTGTCTAAGCAATTTCTTGTGTTTAGAAATTCAGTGCCACTATTATGGCTCACAATTTGGCTTATGATGCATCTGTAAGCAAACAGCCTGACAAGCACTCTAGTGTATTTCAGGATGACTGACAGGACACAGTGGCTCAAGCAAGAAGTGGGGGATGGGTGCTCTTAAAGCAACATGCCCAGGAAGGGAAATATCTAACAGCAGAAACAGATATGAAATTCTTTTTCACATTTGCAAAGAAATAATGAATAACTGCCTAGGGTCGACTTTTAAACTCAATTTTCACATATGTTATGTACCCAAAATACTATAAATTTCAAAATGGCTTTGAGAATTTGTATAAGCAGAAATTTAAAAAAATACAAAGCAGGCATGCTATATATTTCCCTGAAGCTATCAAGTTTCTAAATTTTAAGAATATTCCAATTATTTTTAACAGAAATTAAAACAAGATACCCAGAGAGAAACAGTTCTTATCTCACCTTTAAATATATACCAATAGACCTTACAATAGTAATTTAAGAACAATTAATTTAAAAAAGCAATTTAAATATGTTGGATTACTCAGGATTGGTTTTAGACATACAGGAAGGATATCCATGAATTTCTCCCCTACTGCATTGTTTCCTTATGGTCTACTTCCATGGTTAAATAATAGACCAAAATATTTTAAAATTCCATTAGTGTCAGTTGGAAAATATTTAATCAATACATTGGCTTATTTTTTCAATTATGTAATTTTTTCCTATATTATTTCACATCACTTTGTATCGCTTGATTCTTTGATGATTAATTCATCAATCAGTCCTACTTTTTTTAAATGCCATTCATTTTTAAATGTAATCCCTTATTTGGCCAGCTGAGGGCGTCATTAGATTCTGAATGCACACAGCATTGCAACACAACAAGTAGACTTTCCTTAGATAAATGTGTTTAGAAATACTTCTATTTTATTTTGCCTATAGAAATTTGACTTATAAGGTCCACATTAGTGTTTCATGCTTCTTCTCTATGACAAACTAGCATTATTTCTTCCTCTATCAACTCCATCAGAAGCATCCTCTGAAAGAAAAGCATTAGAAGGCTAAGAAATAGCAGAGCTGGGTTTAACCATCAGAAAGACTTTCCACAACCCTCAATTCTTCTGGCACATGAAACCAAACAAACAAAAATCTTACATAAGAATCCAAAATCCCATCAGAAAACCCATAGGAAGCAGAACTAAACTATAGTCTCTTTTCAAAGTTATATATGACATTTGCAAACTGCTTAACTTATATTTTCTTTTTTTAAATATTTTTTTAGTAGTAGTTGGACACAATATCTTTATTTTATTTATTTATTTTTATGTGGTATTGAGGATCGAACCCAGGGCCTCACACATGAGAGGTGAACATTTTACCGCTGAGCCACAGCCACTTAACTTACATTTTCTTATCGTTTAATATTTGCTAATTGTCCATTATCTATTAGATGCTACAGGTTAATTTTAAAATATATGGTTCCAGTTATCAAAACATTATTATATTTCTCATGAGCATGCAGTGTTGAGACTAACACTTCAGAATCTGCAAGTTCTTTATTTTATAACTAAAATTCACTTAATTTGGAAAGTGAATTCTGAACATCAGTTTATCTGATTTACCCTAAAAATAAATATTTATCATATAATTTGCTAATTACCACAAATTTATCTTGAGTAAAGATAGAAGTTTTTTCTATGCTTAAGCTATTATTATCTCACAGACAACAAGTCTCCTAAGTTCAAACACAGAAAAAATAAAGCAGATCTAAAGACCCAAAGAATGAACTCTTTTTATTCTCCTAGACTTGCCATTAATGACACAGCCTTTATGCTAAATTATTAAATTTTTCAAAAGGAAATGATCATTCTCTTCCTCAATTCCATTTCAAATAAATAACTGATAACTTCTTTTCCTTTAAAAGGGAATTCTATTTTTGAAAATGAAAATAAGTTTGGGGGTTCTTCATTGAAGAAGTTGCCCTATAAAATTATTTCTCATAACTGAATGTAGCAGTTTTTTCCTCATGTAATAATGATAACGAAGTAAAAATCATATGTTACATTTGGAAACAAAGTATAACAACTCTTCAACTGTTCTTGATTCTTTTATAAAATTTTTATCTTTAATTTTCTAAACTAATACATTCTCTATAGTCTAAAATACATTTATATTATTTCTGAAATTAATTTATAGGATGAACATCTAGAAGAAAACTGAAATATTCATTTTGTCAATAATTTGCATATCCATTTTGCCAACTAGCCTTACATTTTAAAACATACAGATAATTAATTTTTTTCTGTTTTCATAGAATCACTTAATTCCACTTTACTGTCCAACAATGTGTTTGATTCCTTATGCAAGATCTCCTGAATTATTTCTCACTCTGTAGTTTTTCTTTTCCCCAGGTGTCTTAAGAACCAATATCTAAAGGCTTTTTTAGTCCTAATTCTATTTCTGGCTTTAACAACATATTTTTTAATGCTATTGTTTAGGAGGGAGGATAGAGTGAATGGTGAAGAGATAAATACTCATTTAAATACTCCTTTTCCTTTAGCAAAAATGCTACCATACATTTTATGATCTATTTGAATTTTCAATAATATTATGTGTGTATATATATATATATATACACACACATACATGTATATGTATGTGTGTATGTGTTTGTGTGTGTGTGTATAAAACTGTTGCTGTAGGCTCATAACAGTATTAACACAATGAGCAAATCTAGAACAAGCCTTTTCTCTAACATGCTTTAGGATTGTAAGTGTGAGGTGCAGTGGCACATGCAAATAAATTATATCCCACAGGCATCTGAAAATGCAAAATCCAAGAACTAAAGAGAAAAATCAATCTTAAAATGTAAAGTTATAGTAAGTTATATATAAGTTATAGTAAGTATATCCATCTAAGTTACATCCTAATCTATGAGACTAGAAGCACTTTTCCTATATAAATAGAAGGGGGAGAAAAGGTAGCCAAAGAGAGTACTTTACAAAACAAGTACCATGAGTAGTAGGAGACATGTCATTGAAAAGAATATTAAGAAACATGAGAAAAAATTAAACTCTATCCTCTTTGGTATTATCCACAATAACAACCATTTACCATTTACCTCAAGATATGAAATGAAATCCATAAAGCTACTGTGATGACTAATTACTTCTAAAATTACAGATAGAATCTATAGGAGTGCTAATTATAGTGCTAGATAATTCATTGACCAATTATTTTGTTTTTGTGGGAAAATAATTTTTTCTTTATGAATTCTGCGTTTTCAAACCAAATTTTAGAGAGCTACTGTGAGAGATAACAAATGGATTGCCCATTTGTTTTAAAAATGGATAAAGTATCTAGGTTCACACATTTTCATTTAGTTATTTGAATTTGTCCCACCACAGGAAGTCAACTACCCCACTCATTATAATAACTTATAATTAGAAAACAAGGAAACACAGTCATAAAATGGAAGCACTTTACAGCTACTTCCAAAGTTGTTATAAAATGTTTAATATAGAAAACATTTAATAGAGAAACATAATGTTTAATAGAGAAAATGAAAGACACATAACACATATTAATAAATTGTGTGTTTTTTAGAAGACTAGGTATAGGATAGTTAAAAGATAGAATACTGAACCAAAAGCAAAAGAAAGATAGTAAGTTAAAAAATAAAAACCTCTGGGATGGAGTTGTGGCTCAGTGGTAGACTGCTTGCCTAGCATGTGTGAGGCACTGGGTTCAATCCCACACAACACATAAAAATAAACAAATAAAGTAAAGGTATTGTGTCCATCTACAACTAAAACAAAATATATTTTTAAAAAATGGAAACCTCTATCTTGTTCCCATGTAAGACTTCTGGAGTTGTGCCAACCTGCTTCATTCCAGAGCAGAGAGCCACTCAGTTGCTGAGTCTATATAGAGCAAAGGAAATCCTTTCTCCCACGCTCTGCTTCCAAAGATAATAACAGAAAACTAGAGTGATGGGTTTCACTACCAAATAGCCATGTTTATATTATTCTTGTCTCCCATTAACTCTCTAAAAGTAAAGCCTACTGATTTTGCATAATAAAGCAAAATAAATATACAAAAGCAAAGAAATTAAATTTTGCAAAAATGACAATATCCCTAAATTGTCCAAAAAATAACTGCCATATTCACTAAATGTAAACTATTATATCATTCCTTCAATTGTACTCAAAAGAATGAAGCTCATCACATAGAAAGGTAAAATAATTAAATTCAATCACAAATACAATGAATCGCATGTCTTTGACTTCAAATGATAAGAGGCCCTCCCCATAGTCTAAATAACCCACATACTTCCCAAAGTCAACCCACTTTTTTCCTTCTGAGTCTTGGGTGCACAGAACTAGATTGATATCATCAGTCAAACTCCTCAGTTGATTTTTCAGAATCAATCAAACACTGATAGAACTGGTCTTTTGTAAAAAGCCTGTGGTTTTGTTGTTGTCATTATACTCATACACCTTCCTCAGGTCCCATCCTCTCCCTCCTTGTTATACTAGTTAGTGGGTGCCTTTCCAATCAACCTGCCACAACTATCTTTACATACACTATATATATCTACAGTAGTTTTACATGTGCAAGTATTTTTAAATTTATACAAATAGTATTGTACTTCCATCTCTTTCTACCCCACCCACTCTTAGCACTGGTTTTGGTGTCTATCCGTGTTGAACCATGCAGATGTACTAAATACTACAGGTTTGCTTACTCCACACATAGCCCCAACCTGTCTCACTTGCCTATTCCTGCTATGGAAGTAGGACATTTGATTTCCTTCCCCTCTTTGCAACTCAGATGGCATGTAACAAAAGTCTGACCAATGAGATGACAGCAGATGTCTGCTAAAACTAAAGCTTTTGCTTTCCCTATAAAAAGGGAGTCAGATATGCTTGCCATGGCCTTTGTTCTTTCCTTCTCCTGACTGTAGTATGATATCTGAAAATAAAGCAGTCTTACTGCAAAGTTCAACAAGGATGACAGAGCTGAATTATAGAAAGAACTTGGGCCCTTGATATC